TATATATATATAAGTTATTCAATATCATTTTCATGATCAATACATTTTGGGATTATATATGTTTTGCTATGTTATTTTTTACATTCCATCTGAATTACTGGAAGGAATGCATATAAATGCTTCCACTTATTTTCCATCTTTATTGTGTAGCTGATTGATATCTAGCTCATAGTGTACGGAACCTATTGCAAAATTTTCTGTCCTATACGATTTTTATCTTGCAGCTAGTTTGGGAACAATAACGAATCCGGTTGGCTCAATACTGTCGGGCGTACTGGCAGAATACTTCGGAAGGCGAAGATCAATTCAAATATCGAGTCTTCCGTTTGTACTGGGATGGATTTGTCTTGGTTTGGCCCAAAACATCAACTGGTTGTATGCTGGTAGATTGATTACTGGAGTAGCAGCAGGTAATTCGTTCAAAACCCAAATTATTTCTTAGATAGAGATAGGTCTTCACTGCAACTGAAAATTTTTGTAATAAGCAATCATATATATTCTTATTGAGAAAAGAAAACAAAAGAGAACCTATTCATCAAGCACTGTTCTGAAGCATCATAACTACAACACTCATCTCGACGCACGTTTCACCAACCAAGTTGGTTTCATCATGAGGTGAACTAGCCTAATCACGCAGAATTTGTATAATGAATCGCACATCGAAAATAATGTTGCAATTCTAGTATTTGAAAGGAGTGCTCCGTTTGGATATGGTTTTTTCACATATATCAAGGTAGCTTCAGAAAGTGATTGTGATATCTAATTTTAATAATGGAAAACCCTACTCAGTAGCAGTTAGTATTCCCAAACTCACGTCTGTTTTCTCTTCACTAGTCAACATAGTTTGCCCTCCACTTTTTTCCACATGATTTTCTTTAACTTTGCCAATGGTTGTCGACTTTGGCACCTTGAAATAGTTAGTTGCTCTCCTGTGTTTTTTTTTTAGTTCAACATCCTCTACAGTTTCAATTGAATTCATTTCGACCTAATTACATCCACTCTGTCCGAACTCACACAAAGCGAATGGAAAGTTTCACTGCTTTTGATTTCAAATTGTATGAAGAAATATTCTGGGATATATGACATTTCCCAGAACCTGATGATGAACTTACTTGAGGAATGAATATGTGGAGAAATCTTCATATATATTCAGTGGGCATACTTGAAGGCTGGCTGTAAACCAAATTAACTGAAAGAGCAATTTGTTCAGGCCAGTCTCGACTTTCCTACAATGTAGATTTATGGACTGACACCTATCAGAAAACAACTGTTTCCCTGACTGATAACCCGAAGGGCCTTAGATTTCATCTAACAGATGATATTACAGAAACCTTCACAGAAGTATTTCCTGCATATGCTGAAATCCATTTTCGATTATAGGAACGGGCACACACCTACAGTGTAGTCCAGACTGGCCTGAACAAATTGTTCTTTCAGTTAATTTAACTCACAGCCAGTATTCAAATACGCCAACTGAATATATGTTATAGCGAATTTCGGATATGCGGTTGGTTTGTGCCTTGTTTACCAGATGAAGCGATGACAGATTTGTTTATTGCTATTCGCTTCAGCTTGGTTAGAGGAATGATACTCTGTAAGGAATTTGATTTCCAATTATCGAATATCATCAATTTTAGGTTGATATTGGCCACTACCTTGCACTGACGAGAGGCCAAATAGCCCGAAACCGGTTTGAAAGTGTGCCCAGCGATTTGAAATCGATTCCACCAGTTGTATCGCCAACAGCACATGCAGGGAATACTTCTGTGACGATTTCTGCACTGACACCTATTGAATAAAATCCAACGCCCTTCGTGGAACTAGCTAAGGGAATTATTGTTTTCTGTTAGGTGTCAGTTCGTTAACCTACAGTGTAGGTAATTCGAAATTGGCCTGAACAAAATATTCTTTAAAGTAATTTGATTTACAGCCAGTCTTCAAGTATGACCACTGAATATATGCGAAGGTTTCTTTCCTTATACAAGAAATTGGTCAAATTTTGGATATGCGGTAGATTAGTACCTTTTTCACGAAATGGAGCGATGACAAATTTGTTGTCTGCCTTTCGCTTCAGCTTGGTTAGAGAAATGATATTCTGGAAGGTACTCGATTTCTAATCATGGAATATCGTCAACTTCAGATTGATGATACTACTACTACTACTACTACTACTACCTTGCACTGACGAGAGGTCAACTAGCTCAAAACTGATCTGGACGTGGGTCCGTTTCAGTAATTGAAAATCGGCTTCAGCAGTTGTATTGCCAACACAATATGTAGAAAATACTTCCGTGAAGATTCCTGCACTGACACCTGTTGAATATAATCCAATGCCCTTCGTGGTATTATCCAGAGGAATAGTTGTTTTCTAATAGGTGTCACTCCATTAACCTATAGTGAATGTCAGTCGAGATTAACCTGAACAAATTGTTCCTTCGGAAAACTTGAATGAGTGATCTCTATTTCCTTTACGGTTTCATCATTTTTCATTATCATTTCCAAACGATTTTCGGATGCATCAGTTTTTCAAATTTTCTCCTTTCAAAAAATTCTTACCAGAATAATAATGACAGCAGAATATCAATGAACAGAAAGAACCTCCGTTCATGATTTTTTTGTGATTTCATATTGTATTTTGTTGTATTTCATCTTTACGATAACTGAATTTTGCAAGTTTTTTTCATTCTGTTCATTGTTTTTCATAACTTACAATAACATTTTCTCGTCATCACAACTTTTTTTATTTAATTCAAGTTACACTTCAATGTGATTATCAGCTATAATATCCCAAGGACATTGATAACTAACGAAATAATTTTATCACAGTTTTCGAAAGCACGTTATTTGGTAACATCCCGACGCCGAAGGCGGAGGGATGTTACCTAAAATAACGTGCTTGAGGAAGTTGTGATAAAATTATGAGTTATTTATCAATGTTCGAGGGATATTCGGTGAAAAAATTTTTTGCAATTCGAACAAAATTATTTATTGAACACACAGTTATTAAAAGAACAATTCGTATAATGATATTCCGTTGATCTTGCTGTATTTGCCTCGGTTACTGCATAGGTGTTTCCACGCATACTATTGATTATTTGGTTATGATGTTCCTGATCAATATTCAAATAAGGTTTTATGGAATTTCCATTATTGTGCCCAGTAATTTTCAACAATTGCTGTTCTTGAACTCCACTCTTAGCTAGTTGACTGACTGCAGTTGCTCTATTAGAATGATTGGTTATTTTCCTCTGTTTCGTATCCAAGCCAATTGCTTCAGCAGAAGATTTCGTCCATCCGTTGATTATATTTCTACCCAGAGGCATATTGTCATACCAGTTATCGCTTCCTGTCTTCCAGTGACGATTTGACCTTAAAAATAGTCTATTTGTCTTGATATTTGTGCCTCGTTTTGATAATAATTTAATGAATAATCTGACAGGACAAGCATTGTTATCACTATTTTGAACTAACCATTTGCTAGAGGTGCAGTTCTTTGAACCCCCTTGGCAGGTTTTACTGAAAATTGGATTATATTCTATCCTATTAGTTGGAGATCCATTGTTGTCCTTTTCGATATGAAAATAATCAACTAAGCAAGCAGCACCTTCACCACCTCTCCAAGCCAATTCCACCGCTGCTATGTGATAAAATTTGCGTAGGAGTCCTATAGGGGTATTTTCATCCCAAAAGTTTATAATTTCACTCATTTCATTTGAAGTTAATGGTACTGAGCTTGTTTTGCGTTTAGTGGGATCTGTTTGTAAATTTCTTCGTGCTGCGTCGCGTGCATTCCGCGATTGTTTGAATGCAACACTTTTAAAGGGGTCTAGCATGATATTATACTCCTTGTAATACTTTTCTTGTAATAATTTGCTTGTTATATTCCATACGGTTTTAACAGTAGCCTCCTTAAACTCTGTGCTATCCTTTTTTCTCATATTAATCGCCCAATCCTTGAGTATTAATGCAAGCTCTTCGAGAGTACGATTTCCATCCAATTCATATTTTCTGGCGTCACAAAACTCCATAAATATTTTCCAAGTGTATTTTTTACTATTGACAGTATTTTTTGGTGTATTTTCTTCAATGATTTTGTCAATTGCCGCATCATTTTGAACACCAAAGCGAGGAAGTGACATTTTCGAAATAAATTGAATTACTGAAATGTCAAACAACTTTATTGTGTTGGTTGCTTAGCAATGTCATGACATAAGTGATAACTACCCGTGAAAACTATCCATGGGTAGTTATCAGTGTAATGATGGTTTCATTGGTTATTTCGACACACATGACTAGAAATAGACAAATTTGATAGGATAATTTTTTTGGCAAAAAATTTTCTAAGATAATAATTAAAGATTTTCACAATAAATCAAATTTGAGATGCGTTCCGTTGAACGGAGCGCTTTGCGCACTAGTCTAGCTGATGAAGCTACCGTGTATCGAAACGCGTCGTAAATAAAATCCATTCTGAATATTTCATAATTATCATCATGTATAGTGTTACTGATTCTCATCAAGTAACGGGTCGGAGTATTGATAACTTCATTGTGAGATTTTTACTGAACAACTTACAAAACTGCAGCACGTATTTAACAATACAATGGCCTTCTCAGGCGTATTTGTATATATTTTCACATTCTATATTTTTTCTTACACACTTTTTGCATTTCATACTTCTATTTGCTCATTTTTGTATTCATTCAATTCACATTTTCATTCAAATTTATATTCTCTTGTAGATTTCTAAATCACTAACAGAAGAAAATTAAATATATTTTTTTGTTTCAGGAATGTCCACAGCGTGTTACACCTATGTGGGAGAGATTTCAACACCAGAGTCAAGAGGTTTCATGCAGGCACTGGGACCAATATGCACCTCTTTCGGCATCGTCCTTACATATACTTTAGGCTATTACATGGATTGGGCTAAAGTTGCTTACATCAGTATAGCTTTTGGTATTTTCTCAGTCATTGCCATAGAATTCATTCCGGAGAGTCCTGCCTATCTGTTGAAGCAAAATAGAGTTACCGAAGGATTTGACGTTCTTTTATGGTTCAGACGAAATAACGCTTTGGCGCAACAAGAAGTTGACAGGTTCCATGAAAATGAAAAATTGAATAGGAGTAAAACCATCAGTTTCAGAGAAATGTACTTTGGCCCTCAGAATGTTAAACCTTTTCTGATCCTAGTTGGATTATTTTTTCTGCAAGAGTTCTCTGGAATCTACACTTTGTTATTTTATGCAGTAAATTTTTTCAAAGAGAGCTCTGTAGATATTAATGAATATGTGGCGTCGATTATTGTTGGCGCTATTCGTTTCTCAATGTCGGTTATACTAGCGTATTTGATAAATAAATCGGGAAGGAAAATATTATGTACAATGTCAAGTATTGGAATGGCTGTGACTATGCTGATAGTAGCTATTTATGTCAAATATTACGAAGTGAACTCTGATCAAACTAAAATTCTCAGTTATCTTCCACTAATAGGAATCATGTTGAACGTGGCCTTCAGTATGATTGGAATGCTCCCAGTACCATGGGTCATGGTAGGAGAAATGTTCTCAATTCAAGTGAGACCAATAATGATGGGTGTAGTTATTTGTATAGCTCAAATATTCATTTTTATTTGTGTGAAAATTTACAATAATATGAATACGGCTTTGCATTTCAGTGGAACCTTGATGGTTTTTGTTGCAGCTTCTATAATATCAGCAATATATTGTAAATTCGTTCTTATTGAAACTCATAACAAAACTCTGGAAGATATTGAAGCTTATTTTAGAAATGAAAGAAGGGAAATGACAGGGATGGATAATAGGGGATTTGATGACAGGTCTGAAAGTTCAGATAAAGTAATAGCTGAAGTGAAAGTGGAAAGTTAGTGTTCACTAGAAAATTTTGTGGCAATTGTGATTCCTATTTTTGAAGAAAACATCAGTTTTGTCTGTTTTCGTGAAAAGTAGTTCTCATAGAACAAGTAATTTATTTTGTTGAAATAAAGAATATTTTGTTGAAAAATGTGTATTATTTTCATCATATTGTATTTTTTATAACATAATTCTGTTCATTTATCAAAATGATTTCGTTCGAAAGCTTCTACTAAATTTATATCAATGATCCTTTAATAATTATCGACGAGGAAAATTTCATTCATTCACTGAAAATATCATGAAGAGTACTCCTAAGAAACCCAGATGATATTCATATTCAGTAATAAAGGATAAACTGGAATCTATGACAAAGAATAAATCCCAAACAAGTACTTTTCCCAACCACCAGAAATACAATACTCTTCTCAACGAGCATTTCACGAACCAAGTTGATGGTTTCATCAGATGGACAAAACTGATTCCCAACTCTGAAACTCTGGTTTCATATATAACAGAATACAGTTTAATTTTCCGAAACATATCAGTGATTCAGAGTAGAAATTTTTTTAAAAATTGCTGGTAAAATACAATACATTTAACATGACAATGAACTTTGACTCATGTATTTTCGAAAAGTCGAAGATTCACGAAGCTTCTTCTCAATGAACTCATCTACGAAATTTGTAGACATCATACCTTTCATTACTCAAAGGGAACGTAAAAAGCCTATGAACGTTGACGTTAAGACCTGCCATTTTATGTCGTTGATATTTTTTTCAAGAATGAAACACAAGCACTATAGGAAAAACCTCAAGGTGCACTTGGGGCGGTTTCTGTGCGGAAGTAGTGATTCACATTGGATTCGAGTTGCTGGAGATTGAATCCATTTCGACAAACATTTTCAAGAAGTTTATTCAATATAAATGCAGTTTTCCAAATGAAAGTGTTCTCAAACAGTAAAGTTCGAGGTTTACTGGGTTGAACCTCAAAACGATGAGCAGCTACAGTCTATCACGTATTTATGATATGAACCGTTGTTGGTTTGAATCTAAAGAAATGAATTTTAAACGTTCAGTGGGCATAGCTCACTATCGCCCACTATCGAGGTGACAAGTGATGTTCGCATCTTCGATCGAGAGGATATCTCTTGTATGGATCGAATTCAGAGGCTTCAGGGTATGTTGGGGGCAGAGCTCCATGCATTAGAACAATACTCCGAAGGAGATCTGATCTAAGCTTCATAAAGCATCACAAGTTACTGAGGTGTGAACAGTTTTCTGATTCGGAATAGTGTTCCAAGCTTTTGAGAAGCAGCCTTTGCAATTCCAGCAACATGATTGTGTCAAGACATAATGGTGTTCACCTCAACTCCCAACAAACTCATCGAAGCAGAAAGCGGAATTGTCTACCCTGACATTATCCGGTTCGGAAACATTTATCTTGTTAGAGAAAACCGATGCCTGGGTTTTGTGGCATTGAATTGAACCTAGTTACTTTCACCCCAATTCGAAATCATTTTTAGATCCTCATTAAGATAGATAGATAAGTATATAGACAGATTTATTGAAGCTTTAAATTCAAACAATTGATAAAACTGAAGTCAGAAGAATGATTACATCAGCAACACAAATACCCTTTGATAAAATCACGTGGTATATGTGCATACAATGAGTATATGAAAATGAGAAAAAATAACTATATATCACAGAGTACAATGAGTAAAATGTTATATTGAAGTTACTAGGAAGTTTAGTACAAACTGAAACAGATAATTTGTCCATGAACTCTTGTAATGAATATGGCTCAATGTCACACAACATATCGAAAACTCGTTTTTTGAAAGTTTGTCTTGACCGATCTTCTTTGATAATCAAGAGTAAATAGTTGTACAATTCAAATGATGCATTTGGCAGCCCATCCTCTGTATATTTCAATATATGTTTAGGGACAGTATGCATTTTGTTACCCTTGGAGGTACCACGACAAGTGTCTGTAATTCATATTGAACATTGTGTTCAAGGAACGTTTTTGCATTATGAAAATACGTTCCAGTTGTGTACTCCCTCCCCATATCAATTATTCCACATTTCAGCAGAGGTTAAACAGTCCCATAATATGCCATTTTGAGTGCAACGATTTTCAAGTAACGTCTCAACACTCCAATTGCATAACACTTATTTGCTATTTTTTTGCGAGATAGTCAATATCTACCTCATAATTCAGTTTATCATCTATATAGCTTCCTAACAGTTTTGTACTTGTTGAGATATCTAATCTTTCACTACCGAGCTGAAAATACTCCGGAATAGTAATATTTTTGTGAACAGTTCTGAACAAAATGCAGTCTGATCTTGATGTATTCAACAATAACTGGTTGAAATAAAAATATGTGGGTGCTATAGAAATGTTATTTGAAATATAGTTTTCCAAATTGAGGTTCCTATTGTCATTGGAATCTTCTGCATAGCTCACAACTTTAGTTCTTTAATGGTTGTAAATCTCAGAGAAATGTTTGATATAATCACTTCAAATAATTTGGAAAAAGCTGTTAACAACTTATTGGTCTGTAATTATTCGTGTCATTTTGTTTGCCTTATTTATATATGGGTATGAATAACTACGGCCAGTTTTATTTGGTCTGGATGGTACGGATTCTAGGCAATCATTATAAATGTGATATAGAACTAGTAATAAGGACGGAATACAGTTTTTTAGAATTTTTGATGGTACATTGTCTATGCCACTGCTCATTTTATTTTTGAGTTTACAGTTGGCTTGGATTATTTCCTCTTCACTCACTGAATAAAGATATATCGAGTTGTGTTATCTTAGGGGTGGGATTTTCCCTATTATGAATAATCTCGATAGCTCTTGCAGAGTTCACAAAATGGACAATAAAATTATTTGCTAGTATTAGGTAAAACAGTGTTTTCATTTTCTGCTTGTTGAGAGTATTTATCACATTTCAGCTCTTGATTTATTGTCATTTTCTTAAATCATATTTTTGAAAAAGTCACTTTTTGATTCATTCAGAAGTAGTATGTATGATTCCATGTATTCACTGTGTACATTTTTTAATTGTTCATTACCAAGAGCCTGTATGTGCAAGGTGCCTACTTTTTCTTTCATTCTTCTGATTTCTTGTTTTTCATTTTTTTTTATTTTTTTGGTTGGAAAAAAAATTGAGATCACAAAATTTACCTGAGAAGATATTCCATTTCGAATTAGTATCAGCTTCACTGAAAACCTGAAGCCAGGTAAGTCGTCCTATTTCGAATATGAAATTGCCAATAGTACTTTCTGACAAATGAAATTGGAATTTTTTGGTACATACAGGCCTGTTCAAAGGTTATGCAATGGCCTGCTGCCGGTTAAGATGTGCATCTGCAGAAGAAGTCCTGGAATCCAAACGGAATGTCGAGACAAGTGTGCTGTCATCGGCAAAGCAATATACTGGATTCTTTGTTTTCTCTAATAAGTCGTTGATATATAATGAAAAGTGGGTTGAAGATAAAATGGATCCAATATTGGGAACACAAGTTTGGCTAGCAAATCCTTATGCCACCTCTCATCTTTAGAAATATCTAGCGCAACAGCTTTTCACTCTCCATGTTTCTCGATTGCGTTATTCCGAATATGGGTGACATACTGTGACTGTTGATCTTTGTTTTCGAAAGCAGTATTTATGATCACTTAAGATGTTGAAGCCTTCTAATTATTAAGTCTGCAAAATATTGGTGCGAGTTCATCTGCGCACATTTAAAGTATGATGACGGGCACTTTATTAGACGCCTTGTTGATATTGAGCTGTTTCAGAAATCGCCTGACTAGACTCTGTCGGAAAGTAATTTCCGGCATTGTGGATTCTAGTGTGCAAATAGTGGGTGGTGCTTTTCCCAGAAAATCGACTGTGAAGTGGGACGCAAATTGTTCAGCTAGTAGATTTGCTTTTTCTATGGCTGTTGTTGCAATTGAACCATCCGAAAAATTCTGACCCGTTGAGATTAGCAAGCCGTTTATCTCTAATTAACCGATTGTGAAGTAATTTGCTTTCATTTATCCTAAGTTTGCAGCTGTTTCAAGCATTATCAAATATAGTTGGGTTTTCGACACTGGGATTTTTGCGCCACTGCCGGTAGGTGAAATTTTTGTTGGACCCAACTTTGTCGTTAGAAGATCGTTTCATCGAAAAAAAAAATATATGCACCCTTAGATGATATAATAACTTCTGTGACTTCAGAAGCACAAATTGATGGATCTTCAGTGCTGAAACAAACATCTATCTAGGGAAAATTTATCCTTCCGTTCAGCTGATCTGTAATGCCTCAGCCTTAGCTTCACGACCTTGTTAGTCGTTGATATTTGAAAATTTGAGCCATTAGATATTGTGGACATTGAAGTCGCCGAAATAGGAAATTTTGACACTGGGAAGATTGATTTGCATGAAGTCAGTGGAGTTTGCAAGTGAAGAGAATAGTTCCCTATATATTGTGTATCACTAGGTGGTCGATAAACGCAGCATAATATGAATTTGATGATCTTCTGTGATATTATTTTTGGATTGATTGTTAGGTATAGATCCAGAAGACTCCATATAGATCCAGAAGACCACATAACAGCATTGTTTCCTGATTTCAGCGTTTCCTCTCATTTTTTCTAAAAAAAAAGAGAGATATTCCAAAGTTACGTCTGATTCGAGAGTGAAAATCATAGCCGGGTTATAGAGAATTGACGAGGCTTGTTGAAGCATTGGCTTTGGTTTCTGTGAGTGCAAGAATATGAGGACTATTTGATATAGGAGTTGAGTCCTGTCAGTAACTGCAGTTACCATGCTATTTTCCTATGGACTGATATTGGGAAGACCCTGCTGACTCAGAAATAGTAGTGTTCGAATAACTTCTGCAGGATGATGCTATAAACATCAAATTCTAGGTCATGGATACTTCTTATCAATAAGACATTCAAGAATGGTAACTCTCTGTTGTTTTCAATTTCATATGTGAACTTAATATTTGTAGCTCTTTTGCTGAGAGTTGAAACGAAGTCCTTTACTTTTTTTTCCTTCCAATTCACATATGCTTATGAACAAATGACCTATAATCGTCTGTCACTGTTCGTGCAAATACGGAGCACCTTATTCTGCATCGT